AGTATTGGCCACCAAGGTTCTGCGAGTTAACTATCATAGACTTTTTACAAACGAGTGTTTTTGAGAATAAAGCCGGAAAATGTTAAAAAATATCGAAAAAAAACCGTGTCTGGATTTGTTGTGTTGTTGGGTGTATTTCGAGATGAAATCCTGGGTTGAGTTTTTACCGGTTTTCCAATAAACAGTGTTAATCTGAATGAAGAAATAAATTGCATGCAGTCTCTGTAAATATAAATTGTACCTATTAGATACAATAAATATACATTTTAGTAGTGATTAACGTGAAAAGTGTAAACATTTCAATTCAGTAAAAATCGTCAAACTAATAAGTCGTCTAAATTTAAACAGCATTTCGCGTTTTTAAAAGCGTTGATTAAGAAAGTATCCAATCAACAGTAAAATAGGTAACATTATATTATGTATTATATTTAATATTATGTTGCCATGAATTCGTAGGTAAATTTTGTTGTTTAAAATGCAGTTGTCGGTGTTTTTTAGACAACTCAATCATAAAAATGGTTGATTTTAAGGTTATGTTTGTGCAAAAATTATTTTTTACTAATTTCTTAAAAATGTCCAAACTAAAAAATAAATTATATTAGGTAAAGTCATCATTAGTTAATTCTGCACCAACAAATGTACTTACCGAATTGGATCCTTTGGCAAAGCATGAAAATGCAACGATTTAGGCCTTGAATTTTATTTACAATTAAAAACACAATAATTCACCATGATCCCTTTGATAAAATACACACACCAACGTAACTATATAAGCATTTGAGCGTTGAGTTTCTTAATCAATGATATAAGGAATAATCAATCGAAATCGAGTAATAAAAAAGTTTTTTAGTTTTTTCCTTGCAACGTAAAACACAAATAACGTGAACAAAATTTGTATTGCTGTAACTGACTAATTCCCGCGATATTAAGACAAATTTTACTGCTGGGGTAGCATGTTTAATTTTATTTTCCACTAAATGCCTATGGGGACTGTTAAGGAATAACAATTTCATGATACTTTTTGAAGCCGAAATTTAAAAAAGGTTTAGATGATATCATTCCGCCTAGTTTTTTCTTAAAACTAACATTTTTTTAGAAATCATTAATACATTTATCATTATTACAGTTTATTTATATTGAAGTATTTCTAGATAAGTTAAAAAACAGGTTTGGGACCAGGGGACTGTCAGGAATTTGAGGGGGTTTCGGATTTTTTTTTAGTAAGGAAAAGATTTTTTTGTTTTGAATTCGGTTTAAAAATGTCAGCTAATTCCAAAAAAAATTAACAGCATTGGATAAAAAATAATTATTTGACATTTTTCCTGTACTTTGATGGCTTGTACCATTATTAATTAAATGTACATTAACAACTGTCACCCACGTGTACCTATACGTTAACAACGCAGTTCTCTTTCCTCCTCCTATTCTGTTTCGCTATTTGTTTAGCGACATTGTGCCAACAGTTTGGATCGTTTGTTTACAGATTGAATAATCACATCGCCTGTTTATTGAAACAGCACACTATCGATGCAACTATTTTTTCAAGAAACGACTGTATGTGAAGGCAATTTGTTGTTTTCATCATTTAAGCTTCGCATCTCATTCGGTAGGTAAAATCCACTTAAGCAATTAGATGATGTTTATCTTGGATCATGTCATTTAACTAGTTATTAGTGAGGCGAGGAGCCAGCCCCTTCGGCAACACTTGAGAAGATAGATAGGATGCACTTTTTAAAGTAAATAAACATCGGGCTCTCTCCCAACCGCGCAGAGAGTTCCCAATGGATATAATGGAGTGCCATTTGGAGGGGTTAAGGTCTAACAATAACATATTTAATAATCCCTCTATTGTTCGAGACCCAAATGCCCGCTAAATCCACATCCAATATACCTCGTATCAACGCATTAATAAATACAACTTGAATGTTTGCTTTCGATCCATGCATCATGATATGGCACCGTGGCCAATTCTACAAAAGAAGTAATTAAGCATTAAGTATATAGATCCATATTTCAGAATACGTTTTGGGCAAGAAATGCTTTCCACAATTCAGCTGTATTATGACATATGATGATATTAAATATATACTGTATTTTATGTAAATTAACAAAACATAATTTAATGTTAGGTGCAAGGGTAAACTTATTCTTATTTCAAGAAAAACTATCATAATATTTTAAATGCAAGCACCCTCAAATAAAATATACACTACGCTTAATTTAAGAATAAGTATTTTTTGATACAAATGTCAAGCCGCGTCCAGATTTGTACCACGTCGCGCAACCGTACCACGTTGCGAACCACGTCGCGCGCAATCTGGACGTCGAAACGAACGCCGTCGCGAACCTAATAAGCGTTGCAGCTCGAGGTACGTCGCGATCCACGACTTGTCGGTAAACTGACGAAACATCAAAGGATTGGTATGCGACGACGTTGAACAAGTCTGGACGGGCAGAAGGGAAATTTTGTTTGTTTAGTTTTATTTTGTGTATGAAATGGAGTGGACCGAAAAAAATATTCTACTTTTAATTAGTTTATATAGGCAAAATGAATGTTACAGCTAGTCTTTCTTGCACTGAGATTGCTTTTAGAAACTTGGTATCTTGCTTTCCTATTTTGGGCCTAAATTGCATTAAGAAGATATTCAAAATCTATTGTTGACATTTGAGTGAAATTTTTATATTGACCACTAATTCTTTGCATCTTTAAATCTGCAAGCAATTTGTTCGCACCATATTTCGGTATATTTCTAAATATTTCTGTTTGCCACCACCGCCTTTTTTGTTTTCGCTTTTTAGTTGATAAAGCGAAATGAATATAAATGTACGCTGCTGCAGCGATATCCATTTTAAAATCTGACTAAAAATTGGAACGCGGCAATGGTTGCAACCCGAGGTACGGTATGATGTTCGAGGCGGCGTACGTGGTTGCGGGATGAAATTCGCGTCGTGGTTCGCAACGTGGCTCGCGACGTGGTACGGTTGCGCGACGCGGTACAAATCTGGACGCGGCTTTATAGTTCTTGGCGATACAATGTTTACTTTTGGATTAAATATATTTATATATAAGGTATCTTTATGTAAGTCAAGCAATAATTGTTTCAAATATTGTCTATTCTTTTTTTAACTTTTGCTCGACTTTAAATAAAGGTTAGGATATAATGACCATGTTTATTTCAGAAGGTAAAGAGTGGATTATGCTATCTCTTTTTTTCTAAGACTGATAGAGAAAAATAGATGGGATAATATACTCTTTACCTTTTAAATTAACATGGTCATTATATCCTAACCTTTAAAGTCGAGCAAAAGTTAAAAAAATAGACAATATTTGAAACAATTATTGATTACTTAACCTGAAAAAAATGATATTGGTCTATATGTCTTTATTACATAACTTTCTTACAATGTTTCAAATATCTATCTATCTACCTATATAATATATACTGCAATGATTTTTTCAAACCTTCAGATACGTTGATTTTGTTTGCGAGACGGACATTTTTTGGCTATATTGGCCTGTTTAACCAAAATTTTTATTCGTACCTATAATCTAGAGGTAAAATATACATAATTGTTTTTATGTGATTCTACGGCCAACTTAATATCACTCCAACATCTAAAATTCAATACATAATAGCTTTGTTCGCGGAGCCCATCCATGACTAGTTCCGTATCTGTATAGGGTAAATAATCACGAACCATGGTACGCATGCGCGATTCGGAACCGATCAAGAATTAACAAATCTCCGCGAACGCGTTTCTAACCGCAACCATCAGTCAGCTGTTTTGTGACAAAACTTTTTGGGGAATCTCCTTCCTGATAATTATAGTATTCAGAATTGCTAAATCGCTCTGCTAAATCATCAACAATCTCTTTGCTAACTCGAAAATGCTCCCTAAATAGCTGATCATCGAACATGGGAACAATTTCTTCAAAATATGCAGTATTTTTAGGAACTTCAATTAAATCTAAACTATTTTCTAAATCTTCATCACTGGATGATGGATGATCACTTATCTATAAAATAAGCAAGGAAATGAACAATGCAAGTAAAAAATAAGTATTTCAACTTACGTTTTCGTTTAACAATTTAATTAAAAACAATATAGAACATATAACCTAAAATAAACTTTAAACAATAATGAACAATACGCATGTCTGACAGCTAGTACATGCTAAAATCCTCGGATCGTTTTGACTTGTCAGTAATTAGTTCGAAACTGGTCCCGAAGGCTCCGCGAACGAGTGATCAAATGTCAAATGTTGCCGATTTTTACACCGCGAACGCTAAAATTGCCAGTGCGCATGCGCAGTTGTCGCGGATTGATCACGGATGAGCTCCGCGAATAAAGCTAATACTACACATATAAATATAATTATGTAATAATTATTAATAATTATAATTATTACCTATAGGTATACACATACATTTGGTGGTTAATTCTTCAAAATTCTTCCAAAATTTCACTCACTTTCGTGAGTGGGGGATATTTTAATAGGCCAGTCGTACCAATATTTACTAATCTTAAAATACATATAATTATATTTATATCCAGTATAGTTTTATATCTTTAAGAATAGAATAGATGGAATTTTCCAAAATTTGGTCCAAGGATTGTTAATCTTAAATTAAGAATGGGATTTATTGCATTTAAAGTCTTTCTTAACATTTAAGAGAGAAGAATAAGATCTGCTGGTTTAAAGAAAGATTAATATTTAGTTTAATGTTAGTTTTAGCTTTGACAATATTAGGTGATTTTAAGCTAAGAAATCAAATCGTTTTAATTTAAGGATAGGTTAATATTTAAAAGAAATTTAATGTATTCGTAGCCTAAGCAAATTATACAAAAGCGTTTTGTTTAGTTCTGGAACTCGAATTAACTGAGAAATCTAGATCTAGATCTAAAGTATTAAACGTCACTTGCACGCCGGTGACTTGATTCAAGTGCCAAATATCTCCCCCCATTTCACAACACACAATCGGGTTATTTGCATTCGTATGAAACGTGAGCGCGGGGCGAGAGGCGGTTTGTTTTTATTACCCAACAATGGCCAGCGAAATGGCTTTTTATTCAGCAAATTATTTTCTGAAGCACCTCGACTGCGCTGCTTTAAGCATTATTCGTTAAACGTAAATACACGCAAATTAATTGGATTTTTTCTCGTTGTCGCAGGTTTGGTTCAAGAACAGGAGGGCCAAGTGGCGGAAGCAGAAACGGGAGGAGCAGGAGAGGATAAGGAAGATCCAGGAGGAAGATTCCGTTTGCAGGTCCTCAAACGCAGAGCCGCCCATGATCCTCAAGCAGCAAACGTTCAGCGATGAGGACTCTTCGGATCTAGAGGTCGCTTGATTCTTTCGTTCCAAGTAATTCGTATCTAGTCAATTGTTATTTTGTAAATACGTGTATATTGTTTATTATACACTCACAGGCAAAATAATCGATCCACAGAAGTTTTCGATGAATTTCAATCGCAAATAACTTTTTTATTTGTTTTCAAAATTAAACAAATATTAAAGAATATTGTAGATACATTAATGGAGAATCGCTCACATTTTAAAAATTACTAAAAAATACATGTTTAAACAAAAAGATGTTTTTTACCATAAGTTTAAGACACTCTGTAAAGTGGCAAAACCGTATATTGTTCTAAATTAAGTTTTATTTATCAAGTCACATCTATTTTTAACAGTTTTGTTTTTGGTTTACCTCGATATAGTTGAATGAATTTTTTTAAAAAACATTGCAATTTCCAATATTTTTCCTGTATGAAGAACTAAGGTTGCTATGGTCCATCCATGGAGGATGACAGTGACAGTTTTCAAAAGGTATCAAATTGTTTTTTGTATAAATTAATGTGTAAATTTTGAAGTGTCTTCTTACTTTAAAAATGTCTCCGACTGATGTTGCCCTTTGTACTTTACTTCTTGTGACGTTTAAAACACTTGCCACGTAATACTGTGACCGTCCATCCTGGATTAAATTAATGGCTCTGGCAACATCAGTCGGAGACATATCCATTTTTTAAAGTAAGAAGACACCTCAAAATTTAAACATTAATTTGCAAAAAACAATTTGAAAGCTTTTGAAAGCCGTGTATGACATGTCCAAGTATGGGATGATTCAACAAAACTGTCACTGTCATTCTCCATAGCCTATGGATGGACCATAGCAACCTTAGTTCTTCATACAGAAAATATTGGAAATTGCAATGTTTTTTTAAAAATCTATATTTTCCACAAAAATAAATATATCGAGGTGAACCAAAAACAAAACTGTTAAGAATAGACCTAATTTAGAACAATATACGGTTTTGCCACTCTACAGAGTGTCTTAAACTTATGGTAAAAAACATATTTTTGTTTAAACCTGTATATTATAAACGTACGTCTATTTTTTGGTAATTTTTTAAAATGTGAGCGATTGTCCATTAATTTATCTACAATATTCTTTAATATTCGTTTAAATCCGACTACAATAAAAAAAGTTATTTGCGATTGAAATTCATCGAAAATTTGTGTGAATCGATTATTTTGCCTGTGAGTGTAGTTGTAATAAGTTTTTCGAATTTTTCTTAACGTTGTTTCCCTTATTTGTTAAATAAACATTGTTGTAAATATTAACTATTAAGTATAGCCAGTAAGTTACAGTAAAACAATATTAAAATAAATATGTTAAATTATGTGATTATTTCTGTATTTCTAAAGTAATAGAAAACAAGTGCATGCTAATATTTATTGTAATATATGTACACTACACTTAAATAAAAACACTTTTATAAATATATGTATTTTTTTTTAATTTTTACCTAAGACCTATAGGTTATAATTTCAGGTTTTTAATTATATGAACTTGAAGAACAATAATAATACTTAATAATAAATTAATTAGCTAAACAAAAAATTCCAATAATAGGGCAATAATGATAATACATACATATAAAAATACAGAAACCAATAATTAATAATTAGATCTACGGTAAGTAATATATATACAGGGTGAGTCAACTTAAAACTAAAATATCTCAGTCAGTATGAATTTTACGAAAAAATGTTTAAAATAAAATTTAAATGATTCGAGGGGGGAAATCAATCAATACTAAAATGGGTCCTCATACTCTCCTCCTTATAGGGGGAACAGGGGGTAACTTTAAAATTTCCAATGGAACACCCTATTTTTTATTGCAGATTCGGATCATTCGACTAAAAATAGGTAGATTTTGTCTAAAAATTTTTTTCATATTTGTAATGGATGGCGCTGTATGAAAAAAAAATCAATTTTGTTCGATTTTTCTTCTGTAGGTATACGATTCAATAATTTTTCTATAAAAATATCACTTTTTTTGGTAATAATCTTATTAAATTAAATCTGATTTTTGAAGTACCCACGATTTTTTAACTAATATTTATGTTTCCTTGGGTTTAAGTTTTATACATTATTTCATTGAATTAATGAATGAATGAAATTCATTCGGTGATAAAAATCAATTGCGCACCATGGTCACTTTTTACCTGCCAGCATTAAATTTTTTAATTTAGAGGATTATAGTACTATTTTTAATAAAAATACCTTAAGGTAAAAAAAAACATTATTTTGAAAATTAATTAATTTAATCCTAATTGAGGTATAAAAAGTGATATTTAGTTATAAATAATAATTATATTTGAGGGATAAAGAAACTATGTATACATAGTTTAGCATTATTTAATTGCAACTTTTTGTGACTTATCGAAAGCCTTTGACTGCGTACCTCACGATGCCCTACTGCAAAAGCTGAGTGAATATAATTTTTCGACTGACTCAGTAGAGTTAATAAAGTCTTATTTGTCGGAGCGAGTCCAACAGGTGAGAGTAGATGGAGTGCTATCAGGGAGGAAGAAGGTTGTCTACGGAGTTCCTCAGGGCTCAGTCCTTGGACCACTTCTTTTTCTTATTTATGTGAATGAACTACCTATATACAACAATCTAGCTAACCATATACTTTTTGCTGATGACACAACGATTCTCGTGAGCGGAGGCGATTTGAGTGATCTAGTAGAGGCATCGCTGGGTGCGCAGTCAAGGGCTGCAACATGGTTTTGCGATAACAAACTTTGTTTAAACGAAACAAAGACGGTAAATGTCCTGTTCTCACTCTCTAGGGAAGGGCTTTTAAATTTCAACCCAACAACAAAATTTTTGGGTGTAGTAATTGATAATAAAATAAGTTGGAAAAATCATGTGGATGAGGTTGCAAAAAAGCTTAGTAAAAATATATATTTGTTACGAAATCTCTCAAAATCTGTATCACTTCCTGTATTAAAGACAGCATATTTTTCATTGTGTCATTCGTTACTGTCTTATGCAATATTAGTTTGGGGTCAGGCTGCAAACTGGCATCGAATATTTTCCTTACAGCGTAGAGCGGTAAGGATAGTATCCGAACTAAATTATCGCGAAGACTGTCGAAGTAAATTTTCTGAACTTAAAATTCTCACTTTTCCGTCCATTTTCATTTTTGAAACTTTGGTTTATACCAAGCTTAATTTGACAAAGTTTGAAAATAATAACTCCAACCATCTGCATAACACTAGAAGTCAAGATAACATAAGGTTGCCAGTTTGTAGACTAACCAAAACCCAAAAGACAATAAGTTATCTTGGACCCAAATATTATAATAAAGTGCCTAAATCTATAAAATCTATGGATTTAAACTCGTTTAAAACCACGATAAAAAAAATACTTATACAAAAAGCCTTTTATTCTCTTGACGAATTTTTAAATGGAGAACCTTTTTAATATACTTGTTTGTTTTTAAGAATGTGCATGTATGAACTATATACTAATTTTCAATGTTTTATTTTGTGACCAATGTACTAAACTATTTCATTATTGTAGTTTTTATCATGTCCTTTGACTAGCAAATTTTATTATTTTTTAAGACATATGTAAATACTATCTGTATAATAACATGAATATATTATTATTATTATTATTATTATTATCAATTTAGTTCGAAGATTAATTAGCAAACAAAAAGGCCCCCTTTCGTTAAGCAGTTATTCATAATGGATTTTTTAACAGTGGAAGAAAAAATATAAATGATTTCGATTTATAGAGAAGCAGGCAGGAATCTTGATGATGCTGTTAATATCTACGCTCAGCGTTTTCCGTATAAAATTCGATCACGCACTTCATTTCACCGTACAGTCAAGCAGTTTACTACAAACGGGAGTGTTCAACCGAAAAAAAGAGTTCGTCGAGCAACAGACACAGGTGGAAATAATGAAATTAATGTATTAGCAGCATCGGCCGCTAATCCTCATGCAAGCACACGAGAATTATCTAGAGATTTGGGAATATCCCAGAGCAGTGTTAGCAGAATATTAAAACGAAATAAATGAATAAATTTAAAAAATAAAACCAAGAATTTTATTCAAAAATTATTGGAGAATCATATACAGAAGAAAAATCGAGCAAAATTGATTTTTTTTTTCATTACAGCGCCATCTATTACATTGTCGGATATACATCGTCAATTTTAAACCCCAAATATTTTATAAATCTTCGTTGTACTTTTTCCAATTGCGAGATGTATGTATTGTAGTGTGGGTAAAAAAATAAGGCTCCCATATTCAAGCTTTGAACGGACTTAAGAATAATAAAAGTTTTAAGTGTTTCAATGTTTCTAAAATCCTTACAGTTACGCATAATAAACCCTAGAGATCGCATCGCTGGAAACTTGTAGCTTGAAAATGTTCCAAAAAAGACGACTGATAATCAAAAACTATGCCAAGATCCTTAAATTTATCAGTTCGTATAAAAGATTCATTATTCAAACTATAATCATATACAATCTTGCTGTACTTTAGAATAAATGAACATGCGAATAGAAGCTAAAGAAAAAAAGACAAATCATTAACAAATAGTTTTACGAGGTGTGTTCAGAAAATATCGGGAATTTTCGTTTTTTTAAACAAATATTTATTTATTCGTCTACATTAATGTTGTCGCCTTCAAAACAGTCCCCATTGGATATTATGCACATGTGCCAGCTCTTCTTCCAATACTCGAAACACTTCTAAAACTCGATCTTTGGGATAGCCTTTAGTTCTTTCATCGATGCGCTTTTAATGTCATCTATGCTTGCAAAACGACGGCCCTTTAAGGTTCTCTTTATTTTTGGGAATAGGAAAAAGTCAGACAGAGGCATGTCTGGCGAATATGGAGGCTGGGGCATCATTACATTTTTTTTGGCCAAAAATTTTGTTCAAAATTTAACAATTTTAGAACAAATTTTTCAGCCACGCGTTTCATACCCAAAACATTCGAAAAAATTTCATGGGATGAGCCAATCGATATACCAACATCATCAGCGACTTCTCTGATGGTTTATAACCATTTCTTCCACTTTTTCTATGTTTTTATCGGTTGTTAATGTGCTTGTGCGTTCGGGGCGTTCGTCATCTTCAACGTCTTTACGGCCATCTTGGAAACTCTTAAACCACTTGTAAACTCTTGTTTTACTTATAGCAGACTCACTATATTAACATTTCACAGAATTTATTTCATTTTTTAAGCAAAATTGGATACAAATTCTTTGATCCTATTCTTTTAACGAACGAAAAATCGCCGAGCTCATAAAACACGTCTAACCTTAGCGGCTGCCACAGACAAAGTAAACAATGAAAACAGCTAAAGTTTGTATCATACTTCGGGGGCATGTATACCAACATAATAAAGAAAATTTTATGACAACCGGGTTAATTTTGTTGTTTAGGAAATTGATTAATAAAGCAACATTTTTGATAAAAAATCTTTTCATTTAAGTTCTCAATTTCCAATAAATACTTTTGTCACTGGGTCTAAAAAAAGGTGTGTAAAAATAGGGTCCATCTTGAAAATTAAAAGAATTATGGTTGAATTATTGACAGGATTTTGTTATTAAATCTACACAATGTTTGCTATAATTACAAATCACTTATTCAATTAGTTAACAGATTATAGTTAAGTTGTAAACTTAACAAAAAGTTATTTGGACCTGGATTAACATAAAATCTGGTTAATATTTGGTTAAAATTAACAAATATTTTTTTACTGTGTAAAATGTCAGTAAACTCAAATAATTAATTTTATAAATAATTTTCATTTTAGATAAACCGATTACATTTTTAATAACTTGGCAGTTTAAAAAAGCAAGATTATTTCATTAAAGCAAATTAGCTTGAGGTAAAAGTGCGTGTGTGCGGAAAAGTGGCATAATAAAATTCAATTTAATCTGGCCGGTTTCGAAACCCGCAAAAGAGTTACGTTTTGTCGCGAGCGACCCCGCTCGGCGGACAAAAGTAAACAAATCGCTTTAATTACGGGAGACCTTAAAAATCGACCCTCTTATTTGTGCACGCACACCACCGCTTGCCGTTGCGGCCGTTGCTGCACCCACTGTTCCGTTTGTTCCAGTTATCGTTATTATGCTCACCCACCTTATTAATACACCGCACGTTCGCAGTTTTTGTTCGCAACTCAGAAACACACACGAAATAAAAATAATTGAAAAGGTAGCTTAATCTAGTATCTAACTTGAATAGTTAATAACTTTTTTATTTTAAATGTAACAACCGTTATGTTAAGAAATTGACATGGAATCTTTTAAACAATGTTTTAAGATTCCAAAAGTTCCATGGTGCACCCCCATTTCTGCAAACCTAATAGCAAGAAAGTTATAGGCTATTTTTGATTGACGCGCATTTGTCATATTTTAACGGAAAAAATTATTAACTCCAAAATTAGGTATAGGACATAGTACAGTAATTTTATGAAGAATTTAAAAATGTAAAAATATATGGAGTTTTCCATTTAAAATAACAAAGTTGATGTCACTTCCGGCCAAGCCGGAAGTGGCATTTTGTTTAAAATATTTTAGAAAAATAGGCTAAATTGGATTATAAACGCTTTAAAAATTTCAAATCGATATCTTTTGCCGTTCCTCAGAAACTCTCGATGGACCACGAACATGAAACACCCGTATTTCGTGAATGTGCAACACCCTGTATATAATTAAAATAATTTTAAAATAAATAAATAATCTTAATGGTCGTCCATTTATTCAGTAAATAAATTTTTCATGAAAATATACTGTCTAGCTGTTATCGAATCTGTTATATTATGTTTATTATTATTTATTGGATCGCACTTAAAAAAAATGACGTGAAGTCTATTTTCAAAATCTATAGAAATTTTTCATGGGAGGGGAAAAAAATCAAATTTTGTCGTACTGTGTTATAAGTTTATGATTACTACGTTCAATCAATAAACAGCAAAACATAGATATATGAAAGCTTGTTATTATTATTATTATTATAAATGGTAGACATTGGTTTATGATTATTTTTCATTAAATCAATAAACAATTACCATAGATCTATGATCCCTGGTTATTAATACTACGAACAAAAAGGCATTAGTTTATGATTTACTTAAATTTACATAAAACCCAAGACGAACCCAATTAAAATTATTTACCAAATTTACTTACCTTTTTATTTAAAAAAATGGTTTACTGGGTAAGTGGGTTACCCACGGTGGGTACATTTTGTTTTAGCAACATAGAAATAGGAAAAAAATATCTTATACAAATTACCAAGCAATCAATCACAAAAGGGGTTTCTTGAAAATAAAGACGTTTTTGGTGAATATATTTTTTATTGCAAGAGAAATTTACAAATAATATGAACCTTTGGGCTCTCAAAAGGTGTACAAAATGCTTTCTAAAAGGTTCCAAAACATTATACTTTCCTGTAAAACGTCAAGATTAAATATATAAATAATTTTAAAACATATATCGACCGCCTTAATGACATAAAATCCTAAATAATTATATTTAAAATATCCAAAAAAGTCAAAACTGTTTAAAATAACTTAACAAGCTCACACACCTCGGTTTCGTCAATGTCCACTCCGTATATTTTTCAAAAAACTTAAAAATTAATCCAAAAAGGTCAAAAATGTTTAAAATAACTTCACAAGCTTACACACCTTGGCTTCGCCAATGTTCACTCCTTATATTTATCAATTTCACTAATAAAGCTTTAGGGTTAAACGCGGAACGCTATAAGACTGACTGAAGATAAACAATGCATGTAAAAATTGGCCAACCAAAAGTGGTGCGATGACCAGAAGTCTGCGACAGCGATTCGTAGTAATAATGTTTATGTTGATTAATTCATCGTACGGCAGCATTAATTTTGGCGCGCTTTTAGAATTGAATGGTTAAGTTTGTAAAATCAATGTTTAGTGACCGTTGGGTCAATGAAGACGGATTATTATTATTTATGTTTGATGTTCATGGATCAATGACGAAAAATTTATTATTTTAAAGATAAAGAACATCGTTTATTGATCGTCAATTTTTATGTTTTGAATGGATCGTTTTTAATGTTGGCTAGTTTATTGTTTCAATGTACTTAGTCCTTCGGAGGGGACTTTAAGCCCGCGGTCCGTTCCTACCCCTAACCCGCACAAGCCATTCAGTTGGCTTATGGGACTTCTTAAGAAGTAAGGGTGGAACTAAAAGAGCACTTTTGTATATAAACTTTTTTTGTATATAATTTATGATCAAAAAGCATTGTTATAATCACCAATACATAATACATATTAATTTACAACAATTTGACGACATTGGTTTATTAATTTTACGTACAGTTTTTCTTTCTGTGTGGCATTCTTATGTTTTTTTTACAACTTGATATAGAGTTTCATAATTTTATTATTAATTTATCTTATATAAATTTACCTAAATATGAGGGACCAAAAAAAAAATTTTGTACTACTCATTTTTAATTTTTTTATTTTTTGGACCATCCTTATGTTTGTTAAAAACACGGAAACGCAGCAAAGCATATAACTTTAAAAAATATCAAAAACCCATTTTGCAATATTTTTCGAAAGTTTTTAATAATTAAAGGTTTGTTATGCACACAGCGGTCAGTTGTTGAAATAATGAACGCGAATTTTAATTAGTAATTGTAAATACATTACGGCCCAGTGAATTATTTTATTGAAAAATTTATTAGCCAGCCTTGGAATAATTGCATTCAAATCATTTTTGATTTGAATGCAGTGGCCGTTTGTTTCATTAATCAATAGGCTTTAGCTTATCAAAGCCAATTAACATTATTTATTTATCGACATGACAAATAAATCAATTATTTATACAACCATTATAGCTGTGCCTAAATGCCTTTCAAACGCAATAAAAGAGATGTATACCTCCCACACAATAAAGAACTTAAAAGAGCAAGGAATAGATATTAAAAAACTGCAGGTGATGTAAAAAGGATTATCCTTTGCTATATATAACATAATTTCGGGAAAAGCACAATCTGTTGTGCCTATTGAGAGTACCAGCTGAATTTGACAATATAAGATTAAAAACCATTAAAAAACTATCAAGACGTATTAGCCACATGTCCCAAATATCAACAAGTCTATTTGCTCGTGTTGGCAAGGATTTGTTTGATCGATTCAACGGAGTTGAAAATGAATCTAACAATGATTAACAGTGAAAACATGAAGAAAACGAAAAGGAAAAAGAGCAAAACAAAAATCAACAACTACGCGGGCATAGAGGGCGTTGAAAAAATAGTGTTACCCGATGATGTACAAAAGTTGTTGATGTGCGAAGTAGGCGAGCAGGTTTCAGTGCAAGAGCCATGGGCGTACGTGCAAAAACAAACAGTGATGGATAATTTATTGACGACGGAGAATTCGGTGTTTCTGCCTTACAAAGTCGAGTTGGAGAATTACGAAACCGACAAAATCCTGCTCGGTTACATACCGGATGAGACCGACGACATCGACGAGTTCTACATGTGTTTAACAGCGGAATCGGTTATTAAAACCGCAGCTATTGCGAAGAAACATAGGGACGAACAAAGGCAGAAATTGCAGGACATCGTGTGCAAGACACCGGGTGAATGGACTTCGCTGGGCAGCGACATAAACACGAACAAAAACAACAGGGCACTTCTCGAAGTTCTCATAGAAACCCAGTACCCAATACCGAAGGACAAGACCAAGTTCAGAGTTCACTGGGCCAAAGCAGGAGACACCTCATACACTGAATTGCTTAGCACCGACAATGGAGACAGTATTTTAAAGAAAAGAATCGACAATTCTGTTCAAGTAGCGCCAAGTCACGCCCACAATGAGGCCCAAACTGTTTGCACCTTCCCCAAAAACGCCACAGCGAACTATCAATACAACTACGACGAAATAGATCCAGTGCTGTTCCAAAGCAAACTGGATTCGTACTACGTCAAACATAGTTTATCCTTTAACAATTGGTTGGTGATAAATGGTCTCTTCAACCTGTACACTCTGGATTACCACGTGTTGGCAGCAAAAAGCATTCTACCTCCTAGCAGGAAAAAGTTCCACATTAACGAGTACATGACGTACTCAGACATACAACGATGTAAAGGCAGGATGGTGGAAGCAGTCACATGGCATCCCACTATGAGTTGGTTGTTTGTAGTCTCGTATTCGACTTTTTCCTCGTATTACTACATCCGAAATGAAGCGGACGATGATGAGGTGTTCAGAGCAGTCCACACCTTAAATCCCGTTTTGGTGTGGAGTGTCAACGATTATTTGATGCCAAAATTGGTACTGCACTCCCCAAGAGAGGTTATGCATCTTTCCTTTTGCCCTTACGATGGCAACATACTTATAGGTGAGTACAAATTATTTTAATAGCATTTTTTTCTTCAACTTCTTACAGGTGGGTGTAAAAATGGCCAAGTAATAATATGGGATATCCGACACGAACTATCAAACGCGGAAAATCCAAACTCAATGACTCAAAAACAAATATATTCCTTCGTCAATTGGACCCCACACATGACACCAGTGAATATAATTCAACCAATCATGATTTCCGACTTAAAACACTCTCACAAAAGCCCCATAGTGGGTATACGGTGGAGATCTCCGTTCCACGATTTCAACGAAACAGGCAAGCTCGTGGAAACTTGCGATGGAAAAATTTCCATGCAGTTTGAAACTTGCGGCTTGGACGGGACGATTTTCCTATGGGATATGTCGCAAAAACCGGAAATCCTCACTGCTTCAACCATAAGGAGATTCAAATTGAAAAGGAAATCAAGCGCCTTAAAAATTGTGGAGTCGCCCTATAAAAATCTAGATTTAAAACCGATTTACACGGTTTTGTTGAAGAGGAATGAAAGAAGTTTGATTGTCACTCATATGACCATAAGCAAATATTCGAACTTGGTATACGAAGGAGAATTGGATGAAACTAGGCTAAGAATTGAAGATAAGGTGACATTTAAACCAGTTATACATCGTTTGGATCACATTGAAGCTGATATGCATATAGGAACCATAAAAGGTAATCAATATGAATATAATAATGCGTAATAAATCATATTTTATAGGGGAATACGCCCATATAAAATGGGACGGGCAAGAAGAAACAGAAGACGAAGAAATTCAACCAGAACCGTGTAAATTCATAAACTACGGTTGTTACCATGATGGACCCATCACGCAGACCGCCATAAGCGATAATGGTACTGTTTTGACGGTTGGTGGCAGTGTTTTCGCCCTATGGAAAGACACTTTCCAGTTTTCCCCGATATTGTGGAGAAAATGTAACGATTATGTCTGCGAAGGAAGATGGCACAGTAATAACCAAGCGAGATTCAATATAGTGAAGAATAATGGCTTCGTGGAGCACTGGATGTTGCACAAGGATAGTTACAGGTGTTTGGATGAATTGGTGGTGAATAATGGGAGTATTTTTGTATGGAAAGAGCACCCGAGGCATTTCAAGAACCACGTGGTGGGCGTTGGAGATGAATATGGTAACTTTAGGTTGCACAACATGGAGAAGATGGCCGATAACGGTAAGGATGTAGAGGATTTTGGTAAGTTTATTGATAAAGAAATAGCTGTAAGGCAAAACTTTAAAATATGGCAATCAAAATGGTCTGACAAGCACAAATCAAATGAGGAAGCTAAAAGAGAAACGAAAAAAGTATCCATTTACAGAGGCGAGTCATCAAAATCAATCGTCTCCAAGCCAAAGTTAACTCCGTTTGAATTGGCAAAAATACAATGGGACAAAGATGATAAAAAAAGAATTAAGGAAACAGTAAGGAATAAAACACGTTTGGACATAACGGAGTTAAAGATGCTTAAAGAACCTTACGAGGTAATTCAGAGAGACAAACAAGAAAAAAAGCAAAAACTATTAAGCCACGCCAAGAAAGGCGACGAAATTTTAGAAAACACCCTAGAAACAATATTCCCCCAGTTCATGAAGACCCTGAAAACCAACGTTGAAGACCCTTACGCCCCCGGTTACACAACGGACGAGAAATCCGAGTGCTTCAACTCTTTCCAAAACATTTGCCACGAAGCTAAAACCTTTATAGAAGAAAACCCATACACCTACGAGTTCAACATGAACGACGTCATAAAGAAATTCAAAAACAGAGCGAAATCACTGCACGAACAAGACGAGGAGGTGCATCCGCACAAACTTAGGTTAATCGAAGAAAGAAAACAGAAGAAAATCGAGGAAGAACAGCGACGACTGGCGGAAGAAGAGGAACGAAGAAGGCAGGAAGACTTGGCTGAAATCGAAAGGAAGAAAATCAAGCGAAAGCCCAAGAAATCTGCCAAAGAAAAAAAACCTGCTGAAAAAGTTGAAGCAACTAAGGCAATGAAGACTGAAGAAATTAAAAATGAGAAAGTTGACGATAAGCCTGCAGAACTTAAAAATAATTAAACAACAGTCGATAAATTGTATTTTTATTATAAAACACGTTTTTAACTTTGCGATCCAATAGGAGTTTTATTTGTTAATATAAAAAAATAACATATCGTCGAACAATAACTTTAATAACAAAATGCAATTTAAATATAACAAAGCATGGTTGACACGCAAAATGCATTTTTAAATTGAAAATGAAGCCATTGGTCAAATATTGCACACGAGGTATAAAATAGATAGAATCCTTAGATGAAATAAAATATACTTTATAAAAATACAGGGTGTACCAAAAATGGCGCACTAATTATTTGTTTCAATCAAAAACCTCCTAGGTTATTTTCTTACAGAAATATTTATATAACTCTTATATACCCCTTAAAGAGCTTATTTGGAGATTTTATGAAGGTTATCGGTACCTATTTTAGTAACACTATAAAACCCAAGTTTTATAACTAGAGATAACAGGAATATTATGGGAACCACTATATAACCTCTTAAAGAACTTCTACCGGCTTTTTTCCTTCTTTTAATATTTCTCTATACCTCAGGCACATTTATAATATATATTTATTCATAGGTACGCTATCTTCTTTTCAACTTATTCATTAACTTGTTTAAACCACTTGAATATTTTGAGAAGCCAATTATGGCGAAAAACGAAAAACAGCAGGGGGCATCAAAATACCAAAACATAAATATTTTTTATACTATTACTATATTTTTTTAAATGGTACATTAATATCTTTCTTTTGCTTACATTAAAGTAGTAAATTTTTTACCTTGGTTTGGTCAATTAAGTTGTTTTTGTAATACATTAACATTTATTTTATGTAAGAAACAATCATAGCGGAAAGAATGTATCAACCTTTAGCCCTCTTATATTGCTCATGGTAATTTTATATAACCTAAGTTTTATAGGACTATCTAAGTTACTTAAAGTGTTATTATTTAATTTTGAAACTCCTATATACATTGTAGTAACTGTCTTTACCACAAGTAATGTTATAAAACTTTTGATAGGCAACCATCTAACCGCTCAGGTTAGTGTTGTTAGGTTCGCCATTTTTGCCTGCAGTAATAATGGTTTTAACGCAATGGAATCAATTTTTTTTACTAAACATTTAAAATATTTATGTTAATAATATTATATTACTTACGAGGTGTGTTCAGAAAATATCGGGAATTTTCGATTTTTGAAACAAATATTTATTTATTCGTCTACATTAATGTTGTCGCCTTCAAAATAGTCCCCATTGGATATTATGCACATGTGCCAGCTCTTCTTTCAATACTCGATACACTTCTAAAACTCGATCATTATAGTATTGTTTTTGGCCAAAAATTTTGTTCAAAATTTAACAATTTTAGAACAAATTTTGCTGCCACGCGTTTCATACCCAAAACATTCGAAAAAATTTCATGGGATGAGCCAATCGATATACCAACATCATCAGCGACTTATCTGATGGTTTATAACCATTTCTTCCACTTTTTCCATGTTTTTATCGGTTGTTAATGTGCTTGTGCGTTCGTCATCTTCAACGTCTTCACGGCCATCTTGGAAACTCTTATACCACTTGTAAACTCTTGGTTTACTTATAGCACACTCAATATAGGCCTTTGTTAACATTTCACAGAATTTATTTCATTTTTTAAGCAAAATTGGATAGAAATTCTTTGATCTATTTCTTTTAACGAACGAAAAATCGCCGAGCTCATAAAACACGTCTAACCTTAGCGGCTGCCACAGACAAAGTGAACAATGAAAACAGTTAAAGTTTTTATCATACTTCGGGGGCATGTATACCAACATAATAAAGAAAATTTTATGACAACCGGACCCTCCGAATCCGCGAAATTTAACAATTCCAGTTATTTTCTGAACACGCCTTCTATGCTAAATATTTTCTTTTCAACTAATTTGCGTCGAAAGCTAAAACTATGCTTAATTTATGTTCCAATTACTAAACATTTTTTGTTTATTAGGCACATAAATAACTAATAACTTTTTATTATTTTTATTTAAAAAAATTAAAGACACAATAGTTTTATAAAATAGGTAACCACAAACTTTATAAAACTCCTTTATATTCCTATTGGTAATGGTTACCAAAGGTTATATAAAATGTAGAAACAATTATATAACCTAATAATTATTATACTATACTTTTTTTAAGACAAATATTGTAGCGAGTACCGCTCTGGATATCGGAGTGATGACTCATCGCCGGTTAGTCATCGCCGGTGAGTCATCGCCGGTGACTCAGCGCTCGAATAATCGAGAGTGTGGAGCTCGCTGGAATGTTCCAGAAGACCTTGGCGCTGAATATATAAGAAACGGAGCAGCACACGGCAGTCAGTTGAGATTTGGTACTCGCGGCGAAATAAATAAATAAAAATAAATAAAGTGCAAATAAATAGACTCTTGAACAATAGTGATATATAAATAATTAGTAGTTAAGTGTTTAGTTAGTTTTATAGTGTTTTAAGTGTAGTTAAGTTATTAAATAAATAGTTTAGTTCGTTAATTAACCAGTGCGTGTTTTTATTCACACTACGAACAGTTAAAAACGTTACAATTGGTGTCAGGAGTGCGGTTAGTGTGAAAGTTCGCGAAAATGGTTTCGTTAATGGACTTAAAAGTGGCGGACCTTAAGCGGGAGCTGGAAGAAAGAGAATGTGAAACAACTGGAAAAAAGAATGTGTTGCAGCAGCGGCTTCGAGAAGCGTTGGAACAAGAGGGTGAAAATCCAGATACCTATTTATTTGAAGGTTCGTGTGATATGCATTTATTGTTGCAAAATTTGAAAGGTGATTTACAACAGAAAATGCTAGAAAATTCTAACGAATTACAACAGAAAATGGTAGAAAATTCTAGCGATTTAAAGGATGATTTGCAACAGAAAATGGTGGAAAATTCTAGCGATTTGAAAATCGATTTACAACAGAAGATTCTGGAAAATGTCAACGAATTAAAGGACGATTTGCAACAGAAAATGCTAGAAAATTCTAACGATTTACAACAGAAAATTTTGGACAATTCTAACGAGTTTCAACAGAAAATGCTAGAAAATTCTAAAAACCTAAAAGAATATTTGGAAGGGAAAATTCTAGAAAATGTCAATGAATTAGAAGAGAAAGTGGGACAGAAAGTTGACGATGTAAGGATGGAATTAAATAACGTAAGGATGGAATTGGATACGAGAGAAGAAAAATTGAACGAGAAATTGGAGGTCAAAATTAGAGAAATAAATAGTAAACTGAAAGCTGTAAATTTACCAATGATGCTGACGGAACCAGGAGCAGTGCCGGAGGGAAGCCGAGTACGGATGAAACCACCTCAGTTCGATGGAAAATCTTCTTGGACAAATTACATCCGTCAGTTTGAGGCAGCTGCAAAAGCAAATGGCTGGGTACCAGAGGAGAAGGCTACAGCATTAACTCTGGCTTTACGCGGAGATGCAACGGACATCTTGCAGACACTTTCTCCAAACGAACAAGAAGATTACGAAGCCTTGGTGAAACACCTGGAACTGCGATATGGCCAGACACATCTGGAACATGTGTACCATTCCCAACTGAAGAATCGCTGCCAGAAATCTAACGAGACTTTGCAAGAATTTGAGGCTGATATTGCACGCTTGGTCCGGCTAGCATATCCAGCTACTCCAACGACCGTTATGGAACGATTAGCGGTTCAAGCCTTTTTGGATGGACTTCGGGACAACGAAACAAGACAGGCTCTGACGTTGGCTCGTCCGAGCCAACTGGTTGATGCATTGGCCCGAGCTTTGGAATTCGAGGCGGCAAAGCAGAGCTGCAGGAGCCAGCCTAGAATTAGGAGAGTCGAGGAAGAAAAAGAGGAGGAACCCAGTATAATTGAAGAAATCAGGCGAGTTCTTAGAGAGAATCTACCAGAAAAGAAGGAAATCCGGTGTTGGAGATGTGGAAAGCTCGGACATATACGAAGTCGTTGCAGAAAAAGCCAGGAGGCGACTTCATCTAAGTCGGAAAACTAGATAGGGTCGAGGAAAAGGGGCAACCGTCGACCTGTAACCAGTATGCCCCAGAGGATATCGAACGTGTCGCATCTCTTCTACATCAGTCTAGCAGTGTTTTTGTGGATGGCTTTATTAATGGAAAGTTACATGTGCTGCTGCTGGATACAGGTGCGACGAAGACAATTATTCGGCCAGATATTGTCGAAAAGTCCAAGATAAAATCTACCAATCGGCGACTACGTACTGCAACAGGAGATTCTGCTACTGTTCATGGAGAAGTGGACATCACGATGGTCATAGGAAACACGAAATTTAAACATCGAGCATTAGTAGCAGATATTGAAGATGAAGTTATTGTAGGCATGGACATTATGAACTCTATAGGATTTGAACTAAACTTTCAACAAGGAATATTAAGAGTAAATGGAGAAGAAGTCGTGTTGCATCGATCGAAAGAAAAGAATATTCGTGTAATGTTAACAGAAGATGCTTTGATACCGGAACAAAGCGAGATGATATTGAAGGCTTCCTTGGATTGTAAATCAGAAGATGGAAGTATAATGCTTCTGGAGCCGAGAATTGATGACAAAGAGGTCGGTCGAGGAGTCGTAGTAGGGAAGACTTTAATACGTGTCGGAAAAGAAGTGCCAGTAAGAGTATTGAATGTTAATGGTTACTCTGTGAACTTGAAAAAAGGAATCGTTTTGGGGAACTGTTCTTCTGTTTCTTCAATTATTAGAAACATTCGTGAGTCTGGAGTTCCGGCCAAGAAAATTAGCAATGAATTGACGACTCTGCTTTCGACTTCTTCAAAGGACTTAAAGCCAAATGAGAGAATAAAGCTGAGAGAGCTGATACACAACTATCAGGACGTCTTTGATGATGGACAAGAAAAGAAGGGTAGGACAAGAATTGTCCAGCATAAAATTAACACCGGTGATGCACAGCCTATTCGACAGTCGGCAAGAAGGCTGCCACTTGCCAAGCGAGAGGAAGCTGATAAAATTGTGCATG